ATGCAGTTCACGGGACGCCACTGGGGACGTGGTGGGGGGAGGAGCTTTCTCCCCACGGCACCACCCTGCCCGCTTGGGCTCCGCGTTCCGCCGCTGGACACCGGCTTTGGCTGCGCTGTGAGTGCGTACAGAGCCCATCCTGTGCCCTGCTGTGCTGGGAGTAGAGTTGTCCTGAGTAAGCACAGCGATGATTGGCAGCAGTTAAGGGGAATAAAAGCAATTCCTAAATTGTTTACCAATAATTTGCATTCAAATAACACAAGCTATTGATTGGCTATACATTGATCTTCCTATCACAAATGCCAGGAAGATAATGGTGAGACTCTGCAGGAACAAAGGGCTTTAAACAATTGCCCCGGGCGGGCGGGGCCGGGTGTTCGGGACTGCCACCCACTCCCACCCACTCCCATGCACTGGCCTGAGTGACAGGAGACTCCAGGGGGCCACCGCCTCACCCCCAGGGGAACCTGGCTGGGAGGATGAGGGCTCAGTCCTGGGCGGGGCTGCCTCAGCTCCTGGCCCCAACAGTTCCAGCTCCTGCTTCCAGCCTAACATTTTCTCTTTCTTTTTTTTTTCCTTTTTTTTTTTTTCACTTCCTGAGAGCCCCTGCAGTTTGAGGAATACCTGAAGAATACTTGAGGCTTCCTGGTCTGGCCCTTCCCACAGGGGTGGGGGAGCCACCACATGGCTGGGGGAGCCCCAGACATCTGGGGGGGCTCCGGGATCTGGGGCAGCGCTGGGGGTGCAGACCTGGGCCCTCGGCACAGCCCCTCGGCCATGGTGGGGCTAGAGCAGAGACCCAGAGCGTGAGCCCGGTGTTCTGTGTCCAGAGGGAAAAAGCCTTGAGTGGGACGGTGGCTCCACGTGGTCACTGCCTGCAGCAGAGCTGCCCAGAGGCTCTCGAGGTTTTAACAAGGTTTGAAACCAGAGAAAGCACCTGCCACGTCCAGGGCTCTGGGGGCGGAGGGCGCCCTCTTTCCCGTTCAGTACAGGGAAAATTTACGGTCTGACTTACGCAGAAAGGACTTGTGCTTATCCTCGCGTCAGCCCGTTGCCTGGCGGTCCCCGAGCCGTTGCCGCCGGCCCCACCTGCCCCGCCGGCCCGTGGAGAGCAGACAACCCTCTCTTTACCTGTCGGCGTGGCCACCCGTGAGTTCACCTGCGGAGGCCCCGGCCTCGCCGCGGAGATGAGCCGTCCTCCCGAAGGAGGCTGCGAAGGAACCAAGGATCCTGGGGTTGGTCAGGGGACACGGCGGACTGTCCTCGAGGGACTGCGCAGGCGTCTTGCCGTGGACGAGGGGGCCGCGCAACTCCACGCGCCGCAGACGGGACCGTGGCCGCGGAGCTCGGTGGCGGGAACTGCGGTGCCCTGACTGAGTGTCTGTGCTCCCTGAGGCTCGGACGGCCGGACGGGGCGCGACAGCAGGGGACCGTGTGGGGAGGCGAGGCGCGGGGACGTGCTGGGTGCCCAGCCGGGAGCCCCCGAGGGGGGACGGGGCCCAGGACGGAGGCAGCAGAGAGGGCTGCCTGTCCTGTCCACGGCGGGAGGGCACAGCGAGACTGTTAGGGTTAGGGTCACGGCACCACCTGGGCACCGGCATTCAGGCCTTGTACACGCAGAGCGCCCGGTGGCCTGACCGCGGACCGCCGGCCCCAGAGCCGGAGAGGCAGGTTCTGTGGCCCGTCAGCCCCGGCGTGTGGCATTTTGCCGTCACATCCCGAGTGGGCACGGGTGAGGGGAGGGGGGTTGTGTTTTGCCTGCCCTGCCTTGCTTGTTTTTTTGGTGGGGTGAGGTGGGGGTTGCCTTGGGGTGGGTGGGGTGGGAGACCCGGGCTGGCTGGGGGTGCCGTCGGGGGTGGGTTGCTTTCGCTTGTCTAAGTTCCAGCTGCAACCGGGCCGGGCCGGGACCGGCGCCAGGGTCGCGCACAGAGGGCCCAGGGCGGCGACTGCCCTGCTCGGGGAGCGTGACCGGGACCGAGGGCGTTTCTCTGAGGCCCTGTGACTTTAGCTTTAAAATGACACATCTAACCACTTCGGTGCCAGCGCGACTGTAGCCGACAGCCACAGGCGCACCCGCACAGCGGCTATGGCCGACAGTGATATGAAGGCGCACGGCCCAGCGGCGACTGTAGCCGGCAGCGTGATGTGACTTTTCTAATTTTTCATTTATCAAAATAAAATTGTGAACATTTAAAAATGACGTAATGAAACCATGTACGTATATGTTACCTGTTCTGATTTACGTGACAAGTCAAGCTGCCTGTAAAGCAAAACGAGCTTTCGGTGCTTTAAAGCTTTCCTCGTCACACAAGTGCAAGACGGACGTGTCAGCACAGACTGTCGTGCGGACTGCGAGTGCCGGCTGTGGGCGAGGTGTCGCGGCCGGTGAGCGCCGCACCGACGTGGTTAAAATCCTAGTTCCGGCCGGGCGCGGTGGCTCCAGCCTGTCATCCTAGCACTCTGGGAGGCTGAGGCAGGAGGATCACTCAAGGTCAGGAGTCCAAAACCAGCCTGAGCAAGAGCAAGAGCCTGTCTCTACTAAAAATAGAAAGAAATTAATTGGCCACCTAAAAATATATAGAAAAAAAAATCAGCCGGGCAAGGTGGCACGTGCCTGTAGTCCCAGCTACTTGGAGGCTGAGGCAGGAGGATCGCTTGAGCCCAGGAGTTTGAGGTTGCTGTGAGCGAGGCTGACGCCAGGGCACTCACTCTAGCCTGGGCGACAGAGTGAGACTCTGTCTCAAAAAAAAAAAAAAAAAATCCCGGTTCTTCTCCAGCTTACAAAGGCTGCTCTTCTGTTTAAACACGGAGGTTGAAGGAGCGCTGTTTAGGGGCCCTTCGACTAGTCTCTGCTCCTGCCTAGGAATGTGGCGCGTTGAACATCATTAACTACGACACGGATCCTATAAATCTAATGTGCTCATTTTCCCTTAAAAGTGTTCCTGCCATTTACAAAACACCTTGTGTTGTCTTAGAAGCACGATAATTACGCTTACAAAGAGGTGGGGCTCATTTCTTTTTCGTTCTGGGGGGAGGGATGGGCCCGCTCTGTCCCGGGAGGGGTGCGGCCGGGCGATCACAGCTCACGCAGCCCCCACCCCTGAGCTCCAGCCAGGCCCACCTCGGCCTCCGGAGCAGGCAGGACTGGGGGCGCCACCGCACCCGCCCGCTTATTTCTTTTAATAACTGTGAATGGGCACCTAGAGGGAGTCACGAGGAAATCAATAACGAAAATATACATTTGGGAAACTGTGACCTCAGGGCCGAGGGGCCATGCCAACTGGCCAGGTTCTCTTAAATACGTCAATTGTTAAAGTACCAAAAATGCCCAACTTTAACACAAAAAAGTGCCTTAGTTACTAATTCTGAATTTTTGCAAGGTTGGAGGACGTCTACGGCTGAGAGAGGCGCGTGCAGACAGCGGGCAGACCGCACACAGAAACAGAAGCGGACCACGCCCCGCGGCTACGGCGCAGGACGCAAGTCTCATCCCCGCGCAGCCCAGGACTCCGCCTGCTGTCGCAGCCCAGACGGCAGGAGGCCGACTGTCACCCCAGTGACAAGCCAGGAGGCTGAGCAATAACCGCTGTGACAATCGTCCCCCCGTGGTCCAAGCTGAGCGACTCGCCCTGCCCTAATGTCTGTTCCTGCTTCCGTCTGAGGACCCGCCGAGAAAGCCAGACGGTCTCCCCTGACCACTCACGGGGGTATTCAGGTCCACACCCCAGCCCCGGCCAGCAGCCCCCACAGGGCCCTCGGCCTCCCGTCCGCCGGGAGGGAAACTTTCCCTCCTGGCGGAAACTCTCCCACCTCGAGCGGCCTCGAGGCTCTGTCGACCCCAGTGATGCGGGAGGCCCTTGCTCGGGGCGAACAGCCCGCGTGTCCTCACCTGGTGGTCTCCTATTTCCACCCTGCTAAGGAAATCATCTGGGGCTTCCCAGGTAACTTTGGGGACCACCCTCCCAGCCTGGGGGTTCTGTGAGCCGTCAGAGACAGGCCAGGAGTGTCTGGGGGACACACGGTGCCTGAGTTAGGGTCTCTTTCCAAGGAACCCCGAATCAAAGGCCTTGCGTGGCCTCTGGACCTAAACTTTTCAGGTTACTCGTGAAGTCAGTTCCCTCCAGCCGGACGGCTGCATCCCTCTGTCAACCTCTGCACGGCGTCGGATCTAAGCGACTTTGGCTCCCTGTCCTGGAGATCCGTGGACATGCGGAGGCTACACTGCCACTGGCACAGACGACGTGAGAGTGAGGGACTCCGTGCACGTCGTGGTGACGGGGGTTTGTGTTTCGCGGATGACTCTGAGGCTCGGGTCCCTCCGGCAGGGGGAGTCACATGCGGGAAACCTGTGAGGAGCAGCCATCCGACACCCCAGGACCGGGAAGGACCCGCGTCCCATTCAGGCTGCATCGGTCGGGAGGCGGCAATCGGGCAAGGCCGTTCAGGGACACTTTCCAGAACAACTAGACGTCATCCTTGTCCTAAGTCACAGGGAGGCTGAGGGGCTATGCCAGGATGAGGAGGAAGAGGAGGAGGAGGAGGAGGAGGGTGGGACGGGCAGGTGGGGAGCACCGTGGGACCCTGACCGGATTCCGGACGGGTGAAAACCTAGGAGGGGCATCACTGGTTCCCCGGGGGACACCGGGTACTAGCAGCGTGTTGGGTAACAAGCGGCCGTCTCGGGCGTGGTGGTGGACTGTGGCCGGCGGGAGGCGCGTGGCCAGGGACCGCGTGGAGAGGCACAGCGTCCTGTCTGCTGTCTCTCTCGGGCAGGAGCGGGAGGGACAGCGCATGAGGCCACAGGAGCCTGTGGGAGGCCCAGGCACCCAGGGGGTTTCCAAACAGTCACGTACCGAGTGGCACCTTGCGGGCCAGAGCCCCGCCTCGACCAGGGAGGGCCGCGACAAAAGCAGCCAAGTTTGGGCGAGACGCCCCGCAGGGATCCTGGGGGGCCCCGACGGACGGCGACTCCCAGACCCAAGTGAAGAGGCGGACCCTGGTTAGAGATCCTTCGTGCTACAAATGTGGCAACACCTTTTTTATTTAGAGTAAGATGTGTTAACATCCAGCATGACAAAATTTGTACAAAGTTCACAATTTAAAAATGAAGTATCACAGCAACTTGTGATTCCACACATTTATAGCAAAATTAAAGTGTCAACAAACCCATGCCGTGTAGTACAAAAATAAATCAAACTTCAGTTCCACAGAGAGCACAATAAATAGTTTATACAAAATTCTGTCTTAATAAATGATTACTTAAATTAACTTAGAAATGAATATGAACAATAAGTTATAATAAATAAACTCTGATGACTCACAATAATTCCATATGAAAGGTCAGCATTCTAATATGTGACACTTTTGTGATCCCTATATAATAGTCACAGATAACTTTTGATTTGATATTATGTACCGACGCTAGATGAGCAGCAGATTTGTGCTTAAGATCCCTTTCCATTGTACATAGGTGATAACAGTAAGAACCCAAAACCGAAGCTACCTAGTACTCTACTAAAAGCGTTACTATATTGCAAAGAAGCTGCAGACACGACGCGTGGGGAATGCAGATGCTGTCATGGGCGGGGCCCGGGCGGGGCGGGGCCCTGGGCCTCGGGGGCGGCCCCGGGTGACTGCAAGCACCTTGCTTCACCTCTCGAAGGCAATTCTGAGCATGGCAGCTGCAACCGATAGCAACAGAGAGGGGCTGAGCGGGCCGGGTTCCGCCGAGGCCCGGTAATTACATCATCTTTTCCCAGCTGTCAGTGAAGTCCTCGTGGAAAACTGTAAGCGTTTGTACAGTGAGCAGTATAAAGTGCCGCTGGGATATACATATATTTATACATATATATATACCGAGGTTGATATTGTATCAGAATATTTGTCGTCAGATCCCTGTAGTCCTCTCTTCCCAACATCATGGATCAGCCGTGGGCTCCTCGACTCCACCCAGGTTCAGTGTCACAAGGCTGCTGACACAGGAATTGCACACCTCCGTACGGATATATAGGACAAGGTAAGTGCAAATAGTCGACTGGCACATTGTGGGGACAATGACCCTGTAAGTCCTGTTCTGCTAAAAATATTTTTTTTTTTATTTTTACAAAACCCATCTTTTTTTTTTTTATTTCATAACAAAATTTTAAAGTACTTCTGTACTTCCTGCATAACATCAAGACATGGAAGGAAGAGATGCTATCAAATGTAAACCAAGTCAACGCCAGGAACACAACACACCATCAAGGGACTACTCAGGAGGAGGCGCAGTCGGGAGTGGTCTTATGCAGACAGACGGCGCGGTCGCCGCGAGCAACGCAGTCCGGCCTCGGGGCACAAACAAGTCTAAGATGATCTAGTGTAAAGCAAAAAAGTGCTGAAGTATATTTAGGTAACTTTTAAGATCTGATTGCATTCATTCTTAGAATAGGTCACGGTAATCAAGTGACAGGCCACGCAAGTGCTCTGTGGTCACCGGTCTCCGGGGGGAGGGACACGGACCCCACGTGGGAGGACTCTCAGTGGGGCCAGACGCTCGCCAAAGTCAAGGGGGTTTACTGAGCTGCTTTTTCACCAGATCCAGCAGAAAATTCAGTCCAGTAACCAGAACTCTCACAAACCATTTGCCTTTACCCCTCAAATCATAAGATTAACGACAATAATGATTCTTAAAAGTGAGAAGGGGAAGAGAACGCGCTTAAACGATCTTTTAGCTTAAACTGAAAACACGCAGGCTCTGCTCGGCGAGCTGCCCCGCCGGGGCAGGCAGCTCAGAGGGCAGCGGGCTCTAGGGGCACGAGAAGCTTGTTCCAAAGTTTATTGACAAGGAAAAGGAAATCTTCGTGGGGTCCACCTCTGACAAGCTCCTGTCTGAACTGACGTTTCCATAGTCACACCATGTAATGTTTAGGAGTTAATTTAAAAGTGCTGTTTAAGCTGCTTTGAATCTTCTGCCAAGTTTCCATGGCTTGATGTTGTCTTACAATAAATTACTTATTTCATTTCTTACAGTTAATCCATATGCCATTTCCTTGGAATGCAAAAAACCTCATTTATTGCCCCCACCAAACACCATCCTCCTAAAACAAACAAACAAAAAAATCACATAATATTTCCAAGCATTGTTCAAAAATAAAGCATTTTTTTGCAACCAATTCTTGCTATGAAACAATATGCACACAAAATGTAGCTCTTAAATCCCATGAAGTCCTCCAACATGAGGCAAAACGATAATGTCTAAAAAGTGGCTCCAGGGCCACGACATGGTCATTCAAAGCTGTTTTTTTTTTTTTGTCCATTTCAGTTCAAAATACTAAAACATTTAATCACTAAAGCATTAAAAAGAATTTACACTCTATTTATTTTGATCAGCTTACCTCTTCAGAAATATATATACCCCCAAATGTGCATACATAGCAGCTATAAACATTACATGGTAGAACACACTATGTCAGCTCACATGGAAAACATACAAAATGTGGATGTGTTTGAAACTATTCTGCAGGTACTGTCCTTAAAGCAAGACATAAAATCATTATGAAGTCTGGTAAGCATAGCACTGTTCCAAACAGAAATAAATATATAACACTTTCTGGTAAGTTACAGCAGCAAAAACAAGAGGCATCCTTTCATTAAGCAAGAGTTTCATCACTAGAGCAGCTGTTCAGACCTGAATTCCTCTCACAGCCTGCTTTATATTTTCCAGTAGGGCTTTATTTTCTGGACTCTGATAACGGTCTTGATTTGTATACATTTCCGTCAAAGTAGTCACGTAAGCATCAAAATTTTGTTCATTGATTGGATCCTACGAGATATTAAATAGTAGTTCATATACAGCTTTTATTTTCTCAATAGTATATTCACAAAAGCATAAAATAGTCTAACCGCACGTGCCCCTGGTGAGTGGTGGGAGAGGCCTATCCGAGCACACTCAAGCCGCGGGCAGCCCACCAGCGGCTCTAGCCGCTCACGCTACGGTTGGGGTGGCAGCACACACAGCCAAAGGCCGCGGAGCACGAGCACGGCAGCGCTAGGACCTCTGCGCCAGGGCGCCGGCGGCACTCCGAGAGCCTCCCTCACTTACCATGTGGGGCAGCTGGATGTTGGCCAGGCTGTGGATCAGGGACTGGCTCAGGCTGGCCAGCTCGTGCAGGAGGGACTCGTTCTGCTGCTCGATCACCTTGTTCTCCTCCTCGATGGTCTTCAGGTTGCTCTCCATCGTGGTGATCTGCAAGGCATAGTCGTGGGACATGTAACACAGGCGGCGGCGCTCGCGGCCCGAGACCAGAGGCTACCGGCCCCCGAGTGGAGCGCCTGCCATTTCGCGGGTCTGGTTCTTACGCTTTCGAGTCGACGCATCTGAAACTTTGGCACCTGGACTGCAGTGGGGGTTCGCGTTAGGGTCCTGGGCTGTGTCGGCTTTCACCCAGCTGTTAAGGTTTCTTGTGTTGCTGTGCCCGGACACTCACGTGGCGCCGCCCTCGCGCCCTCCAGCGCTCTGCGGGCTTAGCGCGACTGCCTTGTTTGTTTGTTTGCGTTGGCGTTTTACTGACTTGCTGCTCATACTTATCCTCCCCAGCCTGAATCTCATTCCGCACAGATAAGCCCTAAAAATGGCGATCTCTTTGTGGGGCGTGTCGTGTCTTCTCACTAGGGACCAGGCTGGCGTTTCACTTGCTGTCTACCTGAGCGGCTCTGGTCATTCTGTGAGGGACAGAGGCCTAGCGTGCTTCCCACCCAGCTTCCTGTCTCCCTCGTCAGAGAGAATCTGAGCATTGTCACCTTGCATCGCTTTCTCCCCCGCCTTGTGTTCCCTACTGAGAGGTGCGGGCCCTTCCGAGGAGGCTGCAACGTTCCCTGTGCTAGGGAATCTCCGCGGGCCGAGGGCGTGCCACAGCTCCCACGCTGGCCGGGGCGGTGGCTGGGCAGCCCGCTGTGCTGGACGAGTCCTCGCCCTTCTCAGGAGCAGAACGGCCCCCGTGGCACTGACTCCCCTCGGCGTGAGCAAAGCACGCGGCTCGCACAGACGTACGAGTGCGCGGCGCCACAGCTCTGCGGCCCCGGAAAACTGCAACGTCCTGAACAAGCAGCCCGGCAAGCCCCGGCCAGCGCAGGGGCAACGACTCGAGACACACAGACGGGACTGCCGGACGCGTGCCAGGCCTCACGGCCGCACTCCTCCCACCTGAACCCCCTTTTGCCCCAATTATCTGAATCCCCCACTAGTAAGCGCTCGGCTCCAAGCTCCTCCCTCGCACGCGGCCCCCCGTTCCCTGGCGTTTGACTTTCCCGAGCGTGCCGGCAATCTGGGCGTAAGGGGAGCTTTAGCCTGGCCGGGCTCGCAGGCAAACCTGGGGTCGTTCTCTGGAGGACAGGAATGACGTCGCCCGCCTGACACGTGTCCCGTTCAGAGATGTGCAGAGCGCTTGTGGTGAGACACGCTATGCCGGGGCCTCTGACCCCCGTAGGGCCCAGACTGACGCGAGTCACCCGAGCCACGTCGTGGAGCCGAGCGCCACATGTGGCCGAGAAACGGCTGCCGAGAGCGGAGACGTGGGCGAGCGTCTCCCCGGCCCTTCCGAGGCCAGGCGCCCTCTGAGGAGGGGCTGACCGGCTGGGGAGGGGCATGTGGAACAGGGCAAGGGGGAGTGGGGGTCCCCTCGAACCCAGAATCTGGAGGCCCATGGTGGCACGTGAATGCAGTCCCAGCTACTCGGAGGCCGAGGCGGGAGGATTGCTTGGGCTCAGGAGTTCGAGGCTGCAGTGAGCTATACGGTACCACCACACGCCTGCCGGCCCACAGAGCAAGACCTGTCTCAAAAGCAAAACAAAACAAAACGAAACAACCCCAGTCTAGCGCAGTGGATGGCACCAGACGTTCTCACACACCTGGCGTCTGGGAAGTCTCTGAGGCAGGTGTTTGGGGAGGGGCTCGTGGCCTGGAGCACGCGGGACTCGGCGGGAGGGCTGGGCTGGCAGTGTGGCTGCTGGTCACCGGCGATGTGCCCTGGCCTCCCCCCACCGTCCTCAGCCTCGGGGAAGGGGAGAAGGTTGGCCCTGCACGAACCCCTGCCTAGGTTTTGAGGAACGTCCACTTTCCTGGCGGAGGGAGGCTGTCCCTGGGACGGAGCGTTCTGGTTTCGACTCTGTTAGAAATGGTGGCGGCCTGTGAGGCTGCCGTGAGCAGCGCCCGTGTGACCCTTCCCGAGACAGGAACCCGCGAGCAGCAGGGACCAGCGTGCAGGGCCGAGCCCGAGGTCCTACCGCGGGGCCACGCCCCTCCCCTCTGACCCCGAGTGTCTCCGTACGACGAACTCTGCCGGGACCCAGCCTCGGCCTGGCAGTAAAAGCTAAGAACGGTGTTTGCATCTTTCAGTGGTTAGAAAAACAGAAAAGATAACATTTTGTGACACATGAAAACTATGTTAAATTCAAACTGCAGTGCCATGAAGCTGTACTGGGCAAACCCGCACGCGTGTACATGTGTGTGACTCTCAGATGCCGCAGAGCTGACAGGGCAGAGGCCGCACGGCCCAGCAGCCAAGAACTCCTGCCCCCTGGCCCCCTAGGGAAACGTGTGGCAGTGCCTGGTCCAGACTGAGAACCTGGGACGGCGAGACGTGTTTCCAGAACAAGCAGGAGACCGGGGGCTCCAGACGCCAGCAGTGGGGGCGGAAGGAGGGCAGCTCGAGGACCGTGTCCTTGCGGGGAGAGCTGCCTGCTGCCCACGCGTGTGTGGAAAGGACTGGGAACATGGACACGGGACCACAAGTCTGGATTACATGGAGAACTCCAGCCCCAGGAGAACAGTCCACACTGGCGAGAGGTGCAGACACGCGTGGCGGAGGCCGTGGTGAGCACAGTGCCCACCCTGGTCCCTCAGGGCCACCAAGCAGAAGCTGTGGGGTTTCTTGTTAAAGTCTGGCCTGGAAACGCTAGCTCCCTTTCGTACCCTAACAACCCAAGCCCGCACCGTGGAGCCTCGCTGAGCCCACCGTGGGCCACCCCGACAGCCACGCAGCCCCAGCCTCCTCCTCTGGCTCCGGCTGCCGCTTCCTGTGCCTGCAGGAGCCCCGCCCGCCACCACTCCCCCCAGGCAGGTGGGCCCCCAACCCCGGGCCAGCAGACCTCACTCCCCTCCGCCTGAGCGGGAACTTCTGCCCTGGGGACCCTGACCACAAGCGCATTCTGTCCCCTTCGCGCCTCTGTCGGGCAGTAAGTCGTCCTGTTTGCTGATGTGCACTGAATCCAGAGTCAAGGGCCAGGTGTGCCCCACCTGGGTCCCGGCCCCGCCTCAGCACTGGGAGCTGCTCGCTGCCCGCACCCCGCTGAACCGGGCTGGGGAGACGGCAGCTCAGAGACCCAGGCCGTTCTGCTGGAGCCGGGCTGTCACTAGCTGGGGCCTGCGCAGACGGGACAGGCACTGGGTTTCTGATGTGAGCTGTGTGAGGTCCAGGGCCAGGCACAGACCCCTTCTAGCAAGCTGTAGCGCGTAAAAACGCTGGTTTTTATGGGGTATGTAGAAAAATTGCACTGGTTGCACTGACTTGACCCAGAATACTGCTTAAACACATTCCAAATTGGCCAACTCATCTACCCAATCAAACAAAAACGCACCTGTCTTAACGTTAAATTCTCACAGCTGGGCAGAGACCTGAACATTTGATGTTTTAATAAGAGTGTGTCTGGGTTTGAGATGGTGACACTCGACCGCTTCCTCGGGGAATGGCAGGCCCCACCCGGGTGAGTGTCTGAAATTCAGAGTGCTCCAGCGGCCCCCTTCACCTGCCTTGGATCTGCTCCTCAGCCTGTGGGGCCCCCCCGAGTGGCACGGACGTCCTGCCCTCATCTGTTCCAAGGCTGCACCTGCAGCTCACGCGCCGCTTTTTTTTTTTTTTTTTTTTTTTTTTTTGAGACAGAATCTCACTCTGTTGCCCGGCTAGAGTGCTGTGGTGTCAGCCTCTCTCACAGCAACCTCACACTCCTGAGCTCAAGGGATCCTCCTGCCTTAGCCTCCCAAGTAGCTGGGACTTACAGGCATGCACCACTGTGCCCGGCTAATTTTTTCTATATATATTTTTAGTTGTTTGGCTAATTTCTTTCTATTCTTTTATTAGAGAGGGGGTTCTCACTCTTGCTTAGGCTGGTCTCGAACTCTTGAGCTCAAATGATCCTCCTGCCTCGGCCTCCCAGAGAGCCAGGATCACACGCGTGAGCCACTGTGCCCGGCCGCTGATGCACCTCTTACCCGTCTCGGGCACTACTCACAGCCGTCTCTGGCCTGGCCCTGGTGGGCAGCTCGAGAGCCCTGGGTCGGTGCAGCTGGCGGCTGCTGGGTGGCCCGGGAGGGCAGGGCCCAGCTCTCAGGCACAGGGACAAGCTCGCTCCGTCCCCTTTTTGCTCTGCTCCCGCAGGGATGTGGGTGTGAGAGGCGCCAGTGCGACCCCCACCAAGCAGAGAGAAGTGCAGGCACTCATGGGAGGACGAGGCTGTCTCCCACGGGGGTGCGGGGCCGGAGCAGCCACCTTCCACTGTCAAGACCCCCGTAGGGGTTGGAGCCCACCGCCCACCTCAGAGACTGCAGAGCTTGGGCTCGCATGTCCCCATCCATTTCAGGACGTGGGGCTTGCCCTCCTGGGTTTAGACAAGCCACCCACAGGACATTTGGGAAAGTCGCCTCCCTCATCGGCCAAGGCAGTGGGAGTAAACGTTAACCCTTAAAATTCCTTGCACTGTTTTTGAGACAGGGTCTCACTCTGCCACCGGGGCTGGAGTGCAGTGGTGTCCTCTGTGCTCACTGCGGCCTCGAACTCTTGGGCTCGAGTGATCCTCCCATCCCAGCCTCCCAAAGTGCTGGGACTACAGGTGCACCACCACGCATGATCAATTAAAAAAACATGTTTTGTAGAAAGAGGGTCTCGCTATGTTACCAGGCTGGTCTTAGAATCATGGGCTCAACTGATCCTCCTGCCTCCGCCTCCCCAAAGTGCTGGGATTACAGGCGTGAGCCACCGGCCTGGTCAAAATCCACGTTCTGTGTTGGATTAACTAGATGTCCTCAGGTGCAGACAGTCCCCTCGGACGTCTACAAGGAGCCGGTGGAAAGAGCGCAAACACGTGCGCCTCCCGGGCGGGGCGCCGGGTGTGGAGTCTGCGTGTTTCTAGCCCATGGGTCCTGCGGCCACACGCTCCGCGTCAGCTCGGGCCGGGTGAACAAGCTCCGCCCAGCGCAGGGGAGGAGGCCGAGCCGCCCGCGCCTGCCGGGGGCCAGTGGCCAATAGCAAGGGACGGTCCAAGTGGGAGGGAACCTTCCGGGGAGTCTGGAATGTGCCCGTGGGCAGGGGCAGGGAATGAACTCCCTGGACAGACGGAGGATTTTGAGTCCTCAGGGACTGCCCAGAAACGTGCTGTTCACAGGCGGAAATACAGTAAAATGTCCGGGCTTTCCTCCCTCATGAGCAGTGCAACTCGAGGGCGGCTGTTCTGGCTGTCCCGCCAAACACAGCCTCGCCGACTAGCCACCCCAGCTCTAGCGGAGACAGCGGCTCCTGAGCCCTGGAGCCCTCGAGTCCTCTCCCTGCCAGGCCTCCCGCCTGGGGCGGTGGGCGCGGCGGGGAGAAAGGCCGGCCGCTGTCACTGCACCCCAGCCCAGCGCTGGATGCGCTGTAAGGAGACGCCCACGGGCGCCGTGAGCCCGCCAGGCAAACCTGCGCCCGCGGGCCTGCACACTGCCCAGGGCCGAGGCCACAGGGCTGGGAGACCAGTGCATGGACACCCTCTGCGAGGACGGTGGCCTCGAGACACCTCGACAGCCACCTGGTGGAGCGTTTCCACCCTCCGCCTCCTCCTGCGTGCCCACGGGGCCCTGGGGAAGCCGTGTTCCCGGGTGGAAGCCCACTGGCTGAGCAGAGCGGAGCTGCCCTCAGCCTTACCCCCAGAGCCGGGGTGACACGAGTACCCATCTCCGGAGGCTGCCTGGCAGACGGCCCCGTCCCTTGGCTGTGACCACTGCCACCTGCCTCTCTCTCGAGTCCCCTGGCCCCATCTTGGCAAGCGGAGGGGACACAGAAGCTGGGTGGGTGTCCCAGGAGCCCTCGGGACACCCGGGCAGCTGAGGAGGGGCTGGTCCAAGGCCACTCAGGGCTGGGGGTGTCAGGGTAGAGACTTCATTTCTTTTTTTTTTTTTTTTTTTTGAGACAGAGTCTCACTCTGTTGCCCAGGCTACAGTGAGTGCCGTGGCATCAGCCTAGCTCACAGCAACCTCAATCTCCTGGGCTCAAGCGATCCTCCTGCCTCAGCCTCCCGAGTAGCTGGGTCTCCAGGCATGCACCACCATGCCCAGCTAATATTTTCTATGTTTTTTTAGTTGGCCAATTTCTTTGTTTCTATCTATAGTAGAGATGGGGTCTTACTCTTGCTCAGGCTGGTTTCGAACTCCTGAGCTCAAACGATCCACCTGCCTTGGCCTCCCAGAGGAGACTTCACTTCTAAGAGGATAGAAATGCCTCGCCTTACCTGTGTTCACAACAGGAAAGGGACCCCTCTGCTAGCCAGACAGGAAGCTCATGTCCCAGGCCGGCCCTGCGTGCTGGAACCCCAAGCAGCAAGGCACGGCTGGCCGTGGCCTGGCCAAAGACCTTGCCTGTCTACGTCACACATGCCGTGCGTGTAAAATGAGGTGGATGGACACTTACCTGGTAGGGCCTTGGGGTCCCGGGTTACCTGCCCAAAGCCACTGTCAGGGACCTTTAGCAGGTGCAGGGGAAGCCCGTGCCTTGCTGCTCCCCAGCCCCAGTCTGTGGCTGCAGCTTTGCAAAATCCCAGATACCGAGCAGCCCTGAGTGCCAGGCCCTTGCGGACACTGGGGAGCAGGGTGGCCACTGCACATGCAGGGTGACGATTAAGTAACACGAGGGACTAACGTTTGGAGGGAAACCTCTCATCCTGTGCAGGCAACGGTGATGCTCAGAGAACGCCCACGCACAGGTGCTGTTTCATTCAACACACACGAGTGTGCGAGCACGCATACACACAGAAAACCAGGTGGCGAGGGCGGCTCTGTCCCAGCAAATGCTGCCGCGGGCGTTACTGTGCAGAAGACCCACGTGATAACGTGAAAAGTCGCAGGAAACGTGAGCAAGGCTCGAGGACGTGGGGCTCCTCCTGCAGCCGGCTCCGCGCTGCGGTAGGGTTGAGGGCTTCAAACACTGTTACCTGAGTTCTGAGTTTAATCATATCGGCTTCCATCTGGGAATTGGACTCATTTAGCTCCTTGATCTCTTCATCTAACTGTTTGATCTCTTCATCGTTCTCTATACCTGCAACGACGAACAGTAGTTTGTTAGAACCAGTCTGGGAGTTTTCTTTGTTCTTTTTGTATTTTTAGTTGAACTTGCTTGACAAACATGCGCTCAAATTAAAAAAAAAAAAAAAGTGAGAATCACAATCTGGGACTGCCCCGTCCCCACCTAAGGCACCTAAAGAGAAGTAAAACCAGCCGAGACACACAGAAGCCCCCGGCACGGCGCGGGTCGGGCCCCGGTACCTGATGGGGCCTCGGACCCTCCCTCTGCCAGGCAGAGACCACTCTGTCGAGCTGACCCGCCCGCTCTGCCTGGCGTCTGCCCCTGCAAATGTCCCGGGCTTGAGACCAGGCTCTGCAGTCCCTGCGCTGCCCGAGCTCGGGTTCCGGCAGGAAATGCACCAGGCAGGAGCCGGCGAGCACCGAGACCGCTGCGGAGCTGCCGTGGAGAAGGCCTGGGGACGGGCTGCAGGCCGAGGCCACAAAAGGGCTCCCTGAAAACTTGACATTCAGCTCATAATAGGCCTCTCGTTTTGAATAATGGAAAAGCACATGACTAACAGAATCGCCAATCTGTAAGTCTCTGCCAGAAAGACGCCGCCCCAGCCGTGCGCCTGGCCGCGCAGCCACTGGGTGGGCATTGCCGGCCCTGCCCCCTCGGAGTGTGCGCAGCTCAGTCCCCGCGTGGCCGGGTGCGTGGCCGCAGCTGCATTTGCAAGGACATCGCAACCCCGGCTCCCGGCTGGCCGTGCTGGGTGCTGGCTGCGGGACACTGCCCAGGTCAGAGAGTGGAGTCCTCCCTCACTCTGGCCCTGTGCTCCACAGGCCTGATCCTCCCTCACTCCGGCCCCGTGCTCCACACGCCCGATCCTCCCTCACTCCGGTCCTGTGCTCCACACGCCTGATCCTCCCTCACTCCGGCCCCGTGCTCCCACATGCCCGATCCTCCCTCACTCCGGCCCTGTGCTCCCACAGCCAGAGCATGCACAGTGAGGAAGAGTGGCGTCTTCGTACACACAAGTGCCCCCCACTGCCATCCCCCTGGTCACACAGCGCAGGAGGGTCCCCTGCTCCAACCCACGGGGGTCTCGACCTGCCCCGGCCTCCACGGCGCTGGGACAGACGCCATTTTCCAGCTTGGCAGCCAGAAGGGCTGCTGGGGACCAGCGACAGAGGTTCGGGCATCCGGAACCCTGCAGGAGCCAGGGGGCCAGACTCCCCCTGCCCAGACTGGGAAAGACCAGAGAGAGGGACAGTGGCGGGTCGGCCTGACAGGCCCGGGCCCTGTGCTCAGTGAAACACGAGAAGAAGAAGGAAGCTTGGGCCTAAGATGGAGAAATCCACGCAGAAAATCCGAGTTGTGAAGCAACAGAATGATGAATCGACGCCCCATTTAGCAGGGATTTGCCACAAACTTCTGAGAAATTGCGAGCACGAAATTCAGGCAGCGACCAGATGGGCGAACCCAGGCTGGTGCTGCCGTGGGCGCTCTGGGAGCGGGTCTTGCGCAGGGCAGGTGGGGTGAATATCGCACCAGGACCTGGGCCAGGGTGCTCAATGCCAAGAATTTGGGGCAGTGTCTGCTGTCTCAGCTGCCCATCAACCCGCTCCTGCTCAGCCCAATCCGCCAGAGCAGCCAACTTTTCTGATGGAGTCCCTGTCACTTTAAATCCAACGGAGGTCTTGGGACTGGTACCCTGCGACCTCTCATCTCTGACCTCCGAATGCTCTTGGGGATTGTCCCTCGACTCTATCCCTGACCTACCACGCTCTTGGTGTTTCAGGGACTGGTCCCCTCTGGACCTGCTCAATCTCTGACCTCCAGATTTTGGGACTGGTCCATGGACTCTCATCTCTGACCTCCACGTCTTGGATGGTCCTGCGGATCTCATCCCTGACCTCACCGCTCTTGGGACTGGTTCCCTGCGTCTTCATCCCTACCTCCACGCTCTAGGGACTGGTCCCCTGCGACCCTCTCATCCTTGACCTCCACGCTTTGGGACTGGTCCTGGACCTCTTACACCCTGACCTCCCGCTTCTTGGACTGGCCCGCTGGCCTCTCATCCCTGCCTCCACGCTCTTGGACTGTCCCCGGACCTCTCATCTCTGACCTCCACGCTGCTTGGGGAGGTCCTCTGGAACCTCTCATCTCTGACCTCCATGCTCTTGGCTTCTCTGGGACTCTCATCTCTGACTCACGCTCTTGGGACTGGTCCCATGCGACCTGCTCATCTCTGACCTCCAGCGCTCTTGGGACTGGTCCCCTGGACTCTCATCTCTACCTCACGCTCTTGGGACTGTCCCTGCCACTCATCTCTGACCTCCACGTCTTGGGACTGCGTCCCTTGGACCGTTCATCTCTGACTCTGCTCTTGGACTGGTCCCCTGCGCCTTCACTGTGACCTCATGCTCTTGGGACTGGTCCCTCTGGATTCATCTCTGACTCACGCTCGTTGGATGGTCCCCTGCGGCTTCTCTCTGACTCATGCTTTGGGACTTCCCTGCACCTTCATCTCTGACCCTCACGCTCTTGGGACTGGTCCCTGCGACTATCATCTCTGACCTCCACGCTCTTGGGACTGGTCCCCTGACCTCTATTCTGACCTCACGTCTGGACTGGTCCCCTGCGACCTCTCATTCTCTGCTCCTATGCTCTTAGCACTGGTCCCTTGACCTCTCATCTCTGACCTCCACCTCTTGGACTGGTCCCCTGCGATTTATCTGACGTCACGTTAGGCTGAT